AACGATGAATACTTGCAAGTATTTACTCGCAAGTAAATACTTGCTGTACTTTTTTGTATTCACTCGGCCCAGTGGTATGCTAGTGAAATCTTTTACTGAAATAAAAGTTTTTGAACTTGAACACACACACTGACATCCCAGATATTTTCACAGAGAACCTACAAACATAAACGTAGACCCATGTTGAGTAACTTGTGACACTGACAAACAAACAAAATAAACAAGTAGGCCTATAGAAAATTCACAAGAAGATATTTCTCATTTAAAATAGCCTAATTTTTATGTTCATTTTGTTGTTACAGTTTCCAAGATGAAGAAAATGTTGTAAATAAATGTAAATATTATTTGTGTGTGTTAGTGTGTAATATAATATGTGTTAAATTGTCGCTTTTGAAGAAGAATTTATTTTGAAGACGAAGACCAGGAATTTTAACACGAGGTATGTTACTAGTTTTAAAATGTTCACAGCTGAAAATAGGCCTACCTGTAAGCTATAATTTAGAATGACATGGAATTAAACTTTTTCTTTCTATACTTTTGTTATTTAAACAGTGTAAACAACAAGTAATAATAGTTAGGATTTTTATGTAATTCATCTTTATTTGGACTTATATAGCTATTTGTAATTTTTAATAATTATTCTAGAAATAATTTTCAATTAACATATTTAGACTTATATTTAACATTAAACGGCTACTGTACTTTGTTCCCGCGTAATTTAAAACAAGCTCGGTGATGACAGAAGCAGAAACCAGCGGTCAGATGTTTAGTTCGGATTTCAATTCCGCTGTCCCGTTTCTAGACAGACGAAAAAAAGGTGGTGACGGTCTGACGGCAAGGTCTCGTGTCGACCGCGAGCAGTGGCCCGGCAGCACAATTTTTATTTCAGCTGCAGTTATTTTAATAACAATAAAATGAGAGCATTCTATTGGCTGAGGGAACACCAATAGCGCAATGAAACGATACGCAGCAATCGGCCTTGGTGGTCCAGTGGTTAGCGTGCTGGGCTATGAATCTTGTTGTACCAGGTTCGAAACTCATCGGGGGCATAGACTTTTTGTCTAAGATTTTTGCATTATCAGCAAGTTTGGTTAGTTTTGTTAGGTTATAACAGTTAAATTTTATAATTAAAACATTATAAAATTGAATTTGAGCTATTTATAGTTTTATTTTATGAACAGAACTATTTTTTCGATTAGTAAACCTTCATTCAATTTTTTCATTATCAGCAAGTTTGGTTAGTTTGGTTAGGTTATGACAGTTTAATTTTATAATTAAAAAATATAAAATTTAATTTGAGGCATTTATAGTTTTATCTTATGAACAGAAATAGGTTTTCTATTAGTAAACCTTCATTCAATTTTGTCATTATCAGCAAGTTTGGTTGGTTAAGTTAGGTTATGACAGTTTAATTAAATAAATAATTATATATTTTTTTAGTTTTAGGCCTATAATAATTTTTTTTTAATTTCTAATTTTTAAACTCTCATTTTGTCCGTATTAAAAAACTGCAGCTGAAATAAAAATCGTGCGGCCCGGCAGGTGGCTGTTGCCAACCTCCCAACAAAAATGCGACGGCCAGCGTTGGTCTCGGCTAAGCTTGATCTCGGCTAACGCTCTATGTCGTGAACCCATTTTAGACCGTCGGTTAAAATTGGTCGAGATCAACGATAACGTCGATAACCATGGGCCACGAAACCCCGTACTCGTGAACCGCCTCTACAAGTTGTAAAACTTAATATGTTTCATACATTATAACATTACTATAACATTACATATAACTTACTTGTTATAACTGAACACGGTCTCGATCAATCCAGAATCACCAGCACTCATTTGGTAAACTACAAACTCGCTGCATATTTTTGTAGGGAGCATCATCAAAAAGGTGGCTGCGCTATTTACATACATAAATCCTTTGGCTTTGAGGTTGAAGAAATTGAAACGAGACGTCATTGCCTTGAACTTGTTTGTGAGATGGCCGGCATAAAAGTATCTCTCAAAGGAGGAAGACACTTGTACCTGATCGGCGTCTATAGGCCTCCTGGAGGCACTCTTGACGAAGCATTGGCGCGAATATCAACCCTTTTGGAAACACTCCCGAGCAGTGCCCCTATATGCATAGTTGGTGACCTGAACATTGACAGTCTCAAAGCATCAAAGGAGAAGGAAAATCAAGCCCTTAATGATACTCTTGCGTCCTTTGGCATATACAGAGCAAATCTGCCACCAACAAGAATCACTAGTATTTCTGAATCATCGATTGATGTCGTCTGCACTAATCTAGACCCAAAACAGGTCAATATCAAAATAATGCACGAACACATATCAGACCACAGTGGTCAGCTTTGCGCTCTGAACTTACCTGCAAAAACTACAACTCAGCCAATTTCTTCTCGCAGAAAGTTAAGCAACCATAATCTGTCACAGTTAAAGGCACTTCTAGCTGAGGAGTCGTGGGATAACGTCTTTCAATCGGTTGATGTGAATGAATCTCTCTCACACCTCATGAGAACTCTGAGATTGGCTCTAGATGCATCATGTCCGTACAAAACAACAAGAGGTAAAAATGCTCGCCAAAAAATGTTCCAGTATGATCCAGATGTACATTTACTGAAGGCCAATTTCATCCAAGCCCAGAACAGGTTCCTGATCACCGGAAGAGAATGCGACAAACTTGAAGCCAATCTGAAGAAGAAGTCTTACGATTTAAAACTAAAGTCTTCTAGGAAAGCTGCAAGTGAAAAGGTAATCTCAGAATCGTCAAATAAAAGCAAGGCAATCTGGAATATTATAAACTCAGAAAGAAGAGCATGTGATAAGCCAAGAGATCCTACCTGGAGATTGAATACATCAAATGAACTCGTTGAAGACCCCAACGTGATTGCAAACGTGTTCAATGAATATTTCACGTCTATAGCTGAAGAAACACTTAGAGCCAACCCTTCACAGAAAAATGACCAGCAAATCCATCAGCTCCTCCAGCCACCTATGGATCACCTTGGGTTGGTTTTGTTTCATCCAGCAACTAATGACGAGATCCGGAATATAATAAGAACTCTAAGGCCAACCTCATCAACTGGAGTGGACGATATTTCCTCCAGGATGTTGAAGTTTTGTGAAGATGAGCTCTGTTTACCATTGACCGATATTGTCAATAAGTCCTTGTCTCAAGCAACCTTTCCTTGTGCCATGAAAATCGCAAAGGTCTACCCTCTTCATAAAAAAGGGAAAACTGATGAAGTGGGCAACTATAGGCCAATTTCCTTGGTCCCCACGTTTTCAAAGGTGCTGGAGAGAGTTATTCTGGCCCGTCTCCAGAAGTATCTACACCAGAAGAGCCTTCTGCCAAAGGGACAACATGGTTTCATTCCTGGCAGATCCACAATCACTGCTGTGACAGATATAATCGAACACATCCTGGACAACTTGGAATATGGAAATACTGTCTGTGCAGCCTTCCTGGATCTCAGCAAGGCGTTCGATTGCCTGGACCATCAACGCATCATAGAGAAACTTCGAACTTTTGGTATAGATGGTTCAGCACTCGCCTGGTTTGGTTCCTACCTCTCCAATAGACAGCAGCTAGTTGAAATTAGGCACACTGCAAATGGAACAACAAGCGTGGTAAAATCTAAGCTGTTAGACGTATCGAGGGGAGTGCCACAAGGTTCGGTTTTGGGCCCAGTACTGTTCGCACTGTTTTCAGCAGATTTCCCTGATTACATGGATCAGCATAGCCACACCGTCATGTTTGCGGATGACTCGGTACTTTTAACCAGTAACAATGAACTGGAGACCCTTGAGCTAAACAACCTTCTCGCCATCAAAAGAGCCATGGATTACTGTGCCAACAATGACCTGGTTTTCAACAAAAACAAAACACAGCAAGTATTCTTTGGGAAACTTAAGGACGACGTCACTTGCCACCCTAACATACAAGCTACCGAGTCAATAAAACATCTTGGAATAATCCTGGACCAGGAACTGCGCTGGGGTGCCCACATCGACCATCTCTGCCAACGACTCAGCTCCTCCATCTTTGCTCTAAGAAGGATCAATAGTATTGCAACAGCCGATGCAACACGGGCAGCATACCACGCACTCGTTGAATCCCATCTTAGATATGGTATAATTCTATGGGGAAACTGTGCAAAGGAAGTAACTCAGCGAGTTTTTGTTCTACAAAAACTTGCTGTGAGAATTCTCGGGAGCCTCCAGCAGCAAGAGAGTTGCAGGGGCGTCTTCAAGTCTCTCCAAATCCTTCCGCTGGCCGCCATTTACATCTGTGAGGTTGTTGCCTTTTCTACTTCCCTTAACCTCCCGAGGAATTCAAATATCCATCAGCACAATACCCGGAACCAAGCTAATTTCAACCTTCCCGTCCACCAAACCTCCAGATTCTCTAAGAAGCCATCCTATGCTGGGTCCAGACTTTTTAACCTGCTCCCAATGGATATCAAAGCCGGCAACCCTGGGACAATGAAGAGAAGACTTCGGAAATGGATGCTCGAAGAGCCTGTTTACAGCATCGAGGAGTTTGAAGCCCGATGTAGAAGAATGCCACTCTTTTAAAAAAGAAGCCAAAGACATAAAAAAAATAACATGTATTTAATTTTTACTTTTGTGACACTATTTCTAAGCTTGATGCTTATGTAATAAAGTTCTCTCTCTCTCTCTCTCTCTCTCTCTCTCATTTTAGAGAAATTGTGGAATAGCTTATAACTTTTCGTGAAACTGTGGCATAGCTTATAACTGATTATAAGCTATGCCACATTTTCAAGATTATAAGCTGTGGAACAAATTCCGTTATTCCGTTTATAAGCTATGCCATACCATCAAGATATGAGACCCCACGCTTTCATTGACCTATTCTTTGTTCTGTTGTCCGTTGCCCTGCTATTCTAACATTTCTGCAATTCAGTCGTCTAGGCTAGCCATATGGTTTTGTAAAAAAGTAAGCTATCATATGTTTTCTTTTTTCTTAGTTTCTGCTGTAATTCGCAGAGATTCGCTGCTGGTGGTGCTGTGCTGCGTGCTGTCGACCTTTTACCCCTGGACTCCTGGGTTCAGTCGTATTGATAGATTGAGATAAAACATTGTTCAACTTTGTTTTAGTTTAGAGGTGGATTTAGTATATTTAATTCTGTCGAAATGGCTTCAGTACGAGTATTTTCGAGATTTGCTGGTAATAGTCCTCAGTTAATGGAAGATTAATAGTAAAACATAGTAGGCCTAGGCCTAGTTTACCTTTACCGTGTAGGCCTAGTTAAATTTAGCTTAGGACTAGAAGCCTAGGCCTACCTTTGGCATTAACCCTAGATCTGGCGATCATTTTATTCACCAGTGGCGGGTATATTTTGGCACTTTTGTAGTGGTATCATATATTTTGCCACAGAATATTTATTTGTGAATATAAGTACACACATAAGTTATATATATTTTCTATTTCAGTGATGATTTTAGAATGTAATAATGTAAAAATATTCTTTTCCTAGCAATGCGTTTAGGCGTAGTAGCAAAAGGTTTGCAAATCTTTGGATTATGCAAATTAGAAATTTCAAAAGCAACCCACAAGAAAACCACAAAATAATTTTTTTACACATTTTGTCTAAATGTAAAAGTTGTGTGAAATATGATTCCCTAAGTAGAAATATCAATGTTTTTTTAATACTCATAAAAATAAAATTATAAAAAAATAAATTCTACATACATATTTTCTTTGTTGAAAAACTACCAAATTTCTTTTTGTCACGTAGGAAATAATAGAATGCATAAACAAAAAATGAAATGGTACTGTACAATAGGTAATAAAAAGATCTATCTGAAAATATATAGTAATATTTAGTTGAATTCTAAAATGTCGGAGAAATTTACGTCGGAATGTAAAATTTTGAAGATTTTTTAACGAAAACATAATATTTATGACATTTTTAAAAACAAATACAATTTTTACAATCAACCTTATAGATTCACAGGGAATTTATTGTAGTTTCAGAATAATGTACTAATATTGTATACAATTTAATTGACAATCACCAAAAACAGCTGTTTTTGTAGTCAGGTGACCAAAACTTACCACCGCCAAAATCGATTTTGAACTCTCTAGTTTTTCAAACTATGTTTCTCGCTACATAATACTCACTCAATAATGTTTTATGCATGAAAATGAATCCTCAGAATCTCACCTTTCTAATGGTATAAGATTTATTGCGTTTTAAAACTGTTTTCATATTTTAATAATAGAAAAAGCCCGACCCTTGTCAACTTGGTCTATAATCGACCAGCGCCACTGAGAACTCACGTTTTAGTGGTCGAAAATCGACCAGAGCCAGATAGAGGGTTAAAGACTTAGCCAAGTGAAGGCCTAAAGTTAGGTGCTAACGTAATACTAACTTATGTAATCTTAAGTTTAAATTTGCAGAATTTAGCCTATCCATAAACTTACTTAAACTAAGTTTTTCAGTTAGGCTAGGGTAACCTATAGTCTCATAACTGGGCGGGGTACAGTTTCTTAACTGGGCTATGCTAATATCGATTGAAACTATCGAATTGAAAATATTGATTAATAAACAATATTTTTAAATATATTTATTATCAAATTAAACTATCTTAACCTAACCTAACCAACCAAACTTGCTGATGGTGGAAAAATCGCATGAAGGTTTACTAATCAAATCGATAGTTTCAATCGATATTAGCATAGCCCAGTTAAGAAACTGTACCCACTGGGCGGGGTGGCGGAATTGTACCCCCCTGGAATTGTACCCCCACCATTTGACTCAGACCTCTTCATGCACTGAAATCATAATGGGCAAATATTTGAAATATCAAAAACGCGATATTATGTACTTTTTTGATGTCTACTTACAGTATTTTTCACGCTGAATCCAAAAATGCAATCAGTTTTTGTCGGAGAGATTCCTAAATGATCGTAAAACGAAGGTCAACATTACGAGTCTAAGGTTAATTCAGGTATACTGATGGCAATATGGCGTGGTCTGGACGGGTCCGTCTGTGGACTGAGTACTGAACTGACTGAGTGAGGAGGAGAGCAAACAGCTGTTTGTATTCGACTTAATGTGGAATGAAATCAATTCGTTTTGAAACCAGAGAGAATCAGTTCTTATTTAGGCATGTGAGCATTTTTGATATCTTCCTCACATGCCTTTTCGGACATAAAATTCGATTTAAACATTACTATTAAGGTTGGGTTGGGTTAGGTTAGGTTAGATTAGATTATGTAACATCTTATCAATTGCTGATACATCAAATTATGCACTGTGGCACGTTTTCACTTTTAGACACAATGGGATTATGTACCTTGGGATTATGAACTATGGCACGTTCATTAACAGACGTTGAGGCATTAGTCAATGGTTCAGGATTGGAACGAGGACGATGATCATGTCGGATCATGCTTCTATTATTACTGTTATTTTACATGAATAAATTCTATTTTGTTCTATAATTTATGTTGATGTGATTAATAGTTTATGTATCGTAGTTGATCTATTGTATTTTCTAAACAGCACCAAAGTCCATTTTCTTTTAAAAATCTAGTTATTGCATATTGTAACTCTGATTTTGCTCTCATGGCGTCTCGTGTGTGGTTTTGTCTGTTATTATCGAATGTAAACAACTGACAGCTGTTTCCACTCCACAATCCTTCCTCCCCTTTAAGTGTTAGTCGCCACTAGAACTTGGACTCGTCCATACCACAAATATGTGAATATTACAACAAAACTGAAGCTAAATATTAATTACTTAACTGTACGGTCATTTTAGGAATCTCTCCGACAAAAACTGATTGCATTTTTGGATTCAGCGTGAAAAATACTGTAAGTAGACATCAAAAAAGTACATAATATCGCGTTGTATAGACATACCAAATAATTACCTCATAATGGACTTGATTGTAAAACCTTTATAATATGTGATTTTAAATTCAAACTGAAAACGAACTCAACTAGGCCTAAAAATAAAATAAGTTAGCCTAAATCCAATGTAGGCCTATGTGGGCTATCAAATTAAAAGCTTTATTCCTTTAATCAAAAAATAGTTTAATCACCATTGTTGCCCTAGTTTGGAATATTATGTTTAGGAGCTTCTCTATTGTGATTACCACGTAAAATCAAAACAATAAGTTAGGTCCTATTTAGGTTAGAAATTAAAGGTGAATCACACTCGTGTGATTTTATCTTATCACATTGCTAAGTTACATCTGATTTCCAAAGCCAATATAAGTTAGGTTAAACTCGTTTATATTTTAGCATTAACTGAAGAGAGAATTTGGATGGAATAAGTTAGTGTTATGTAGGCTATAGGCTTCAAAATCGATCCAACACATGTCACTTTAGATGGCAATCACTACTAGGCCTAAGTTACTGTATATTTCAATGATACCACATTAGTTAAGTTTATTGAAAGACATTTGAAGATGTTACTTATAGGGGGGTACAATTCCAGCCCGTACACTAGCCAAGCTACCTGTCCAAGAGTGGGGTACAATTCCGGGGGTCACAATTCCACCCCGTACACATTTGGTTATCTGATGGGGTTACAATTCCAGGGGGTACAATTCCACCTCGTACATAAATAATTTGATGTTGGCAGGGGGTACAATCCCGGGGGTAACTTACAATTCCAGGGCCCTGTTTCATAAAAATACTAGTCTAGTAATTACTAGTCTAGTAAATACTAGTCCCGTATTTACCTGTCCTACTAATTTGTGTTTCATAAACGTTTTTATACCGCTAGTAAATACTAGTGTATTTTACTAGTCACGTGACCAAAAATACTAGTCACGTGACCAACTTTACAAGGTAAACTTTCAAAACAAATTTCTAACCTCAATCACGGGTTTTCTGGCGCTTTATAAAGGGTTTAAATTTTGTTTTCATTTGATACAAAAAGTAAATAGTTGTAGAAACGCAGTGTTTTCTTTGAATTAATAACTATATAGACACATAAGTAAAACAATCACATATTATTTATCAAAACGCTATTACTTATGTTCATCAATGACCCCGCCGACGCGCCGGCGCGGCGCGGCGTCGCGTCGCTGCAATCAACACGGTGATTGTGGTAGCCGGTTGTAGGCCTAGTTGCGCCGCTCAACAGTTGGGTGGAAATTGATCTGTTGCTGCCGCATTCGCTGTGATTTGTTTAGTTTTTGTTTTATTCTGACATATAAAATTAAGCTTGCTATGAGTAAAGAAAAGAAGGCTCAAATTTTGAATTTAATTAAATCGTCTAAGGACATTTTGTTAGGAACGTTTTCAAGTACCCTAACCTATGTTTTCAAATATTCGAATGCATAAGAATATTTGGGTTGAAAACCATCCTGTGATATTCTAATTTTGAGTCTACAAACCATATAATAAGCCTAAACGTTTATTGATGTAACAAATAATTGCAACGCCGTTACAAGCAATGGAAAAGTAGGTTTTCAAGTATTGTAAAACATGGCATATATGCGCTATTGCAGGGCGTAGCTCAGAGGTAGAGATTTTGCTTCTCATGTGGTGGGTCTCTGGTTCAAATCCGCACCACTCACTATACTTTAGTTCCATTAATTAAACTTTTACATGTTTTACATTAAAATAACAGTTCTAATCAACATCTAATTTTTTTATTACTTTGAATAACAAATTTGGAATATCAAAATAGATTAAAAGTAATGTTTTTATGATAAGCAGTTCAGTCCAACGCCCCAAAAATCAAATATAGGCCTACACAATTGTTAGTACATCACAGGGTTTTAGCTTATTTAGGGAAACAAATAATAAGCACCTAAAAAAATACAATGCAACTCCTCTTTAAAATTGTCTTACTATTATTACCTATTAAAATGTCTTTAAATAAAACCGAGAGCCTTGGGTGTAAAATAATCTGATTAATGTTGCAATGTTGGATACATTTTTGTACATCTTTGTATGCAATATGGTATGCGGTTTTAATTTGGTTTCTCTCAAAGCTTAAAAATCTTTTCTCTGTGATAGCTAAATAGTTAATATAACCATGAAATTTAACTCAAGTAAAATTATACTAAAATTTCACAGAAATTGATAACTTATAATTATAATTAATTCTAATAGGGCGATTGTACATACATTATAAAATTTAATTTCGCTCATTTTGTACAACGCCAAATTTATTAATTGTAATTTATATCTAATAATAATAATCATTTTAGCACTCACAGATCAATTTGTATCTTAAATTGCAAACGTGAGCCAATTCGCACTTGCAAAAAGAACTTAATAATTCATTTTTTTTTAAATGATGTGAGTAATGAAATAACTCTCTTTCCAAAAATACTAGTCTACTTAAAATAATACGGGTGTAGAGAGGTTGTTAGAAAATGGCAAGTATTTACCAGTGTAATTTACAAGAGTAAAACTTTATGAAACACATTGCTGTCTACACTAGTAAAAACCACTAGTAATACTAGTCCCTACACTAGTAACTAGTATTTTACCCTAGTAGGTTTATGAAACGTAGACTTGTAAAATACACTAGTATTACTAGTTAATGGACTAGTAAATACTAGACTAGTAGTTTTATGAAACAGGGCCCAGGAGGGTACAATTCCGGGCCGTACATCTCCTGAAATTTTTTATGTAATCATCCGGTTCACTGATCACTTTTCCACATTAAATATATTAAGTTAGATTCCATTAAAATCAAAGTGTACGGGGTGGAATGATGCCCTTAGGCGTGACGTCAAAATTACGTCGACAATCGGTGGGGGGTACAATTCCGGCCACCCAACTGGGCTACACTAATATCGTTTCGATTAGTAACTTAAAACTTCATTCGACTTTTTCATTATGAGCCGATAAGGTTAGGTTATGACAGTTTCATTGTTTAATTGATAGCCTATAACACGGTAACATAATAATATATATAGGCTATTTTTAATTGATATTTTCAATCAATAGGTTCAATCAATGGTAAATATGCAATTTAGGGTTTGTACGTGTTTATTGAACATTTTTTTCATTCTAGGCCTACCATACTTGAAATTTTACGCTGATTCCGACCATAACGCGGAAAAACAACCAAAACGACCAAAAAATATTTTGTTACCAAAACATGTCATGTGGGTACTCAAACTAACCGGAATATAAAGCAGATCAGGATTATGCGAGAATGTTTTGGATCCGAAGTCATACAAGCAAGATTTTCACAAAAATCTGCAATGTTATTTTGTATTTTTGCTCAAACTTTTGTCTGTATTAAAACAAGCTGTTACCCACGGGCTTCAACCCGTTTGACTTCAAAGTATTATAAAAAACTATTGATTGGTTAAGCAAATTTCAAGCAATTCCAAGCAAATTTCCCATAATTCACCCGACTACCCATTATTTTCCGTTCAGTTAGCCTTTTTAACACTTTAAATAACCCTTTCCCCCGCCTAATTTTCCGATGATAAACCACGTTAGATGTATCCCCCACCCAAAACCCCGAATTCCCACCTGTCCCCTAGTGAGTTGGGGTTATTGCTGGTAGTATCACATTTTCGTGAAAATTTTGCTTGACGTTTGATCCAAAGAATTTTTGCATATTCGTGATCTGCTTAATATTCCGGTTAATTTGAGTACATACATGACGTGTTTTGGTAAATTAAATATTTTTGGTTGTTTTCCCGCGTTATGGTCGTTTTACGCGGAAAAAAGACATCATTTTCGGAATCAGCGTTGAATTTAGAGTAGAATGAAAAAAAAATTCAAAAATCGCGTGCAAACCCTAAAATGCATATTTACCCAATCGATATTAGCGAGCCCAGACAAGAAACTGTACGGTACCCGATTATAATTTTTTTACAAAAAGCCCTTGATAGTCATAGCTTAAAATGTGCATAACAATATGACTATATATGATCAAGATAACTTATTAGTCCTTCATCATGTGTAAAAAAGAATATCTGATAATGTATAGAATGTAAGAATATCATGATAATTACGGTATATTGAACTAATAATTTATCTGATAATATATAGGCCTATTAGGTTCTCTTTCAAAACACCTATTAACCCTCAAGTGCTAATGCAAATTGCCTTTAGCGCTGACATTTTCTGTGTGGTCGCGCAGACTTTTTGAAAAATGGACATAAAAATTACTTTTTCAACTTAAAATACCATGTAGGCCCTACCAGTATATATATTCCTCTTCTATGCTCAGTACCGGATTTAGGGTACCTGCCGCCCTAGGCCAAATTACTTGAGCGGCCCCCACCCCTACGGGGGAAATTCCTGGCGATTGCAGAAAATAAATCGTGAACATCTCCCGTGGGCTGCAATCACGGAGACATCATCATCAACACCCATGACCATGGGAAAATCATTAACATCTCCCGTGGCCCGCAATCACCGGGACATCATCATCGTCACCAGTTCTTTAGGTTGAAAAATGATACTTTGAACAAATGATAACTTCTAACAAGACAAAAACATTTTTGTAAATGAGAAGGAACCCCTTGTGCCGGGCGCCCTCCGCGGTCGCGGACCTAGGCCTGTCGACACCAGCCACCGTGGTAAAACCGTGAAAATCTCCTGCGAGCCTCAATCACGGGACATCATCATCGACACCTGCGACTGCGACAAAATCGTGATTACTTCCCGTGGGCCGCAATCACGGGGTCATCATCAGCATCATCGTTAACTTCTCCCATGGGCTGCAATCACGGGGACATCATCATCGATACAAGTGACGATGGCAAAATTGTGAAAATATCCCGTGAGCCGCAATCACGGGGACATCATCATCGACACAAGTAACGATGGCAAAATCGTGAACATCTCCTGTGGGCCTCAATCACGGTTGCAACGTCATGGTTACTATCTCCCATGTGCTGCAATCACGGTGACATTATCATCGTAACCCACGACCGCGGCAAAACTGTGAACACCTCCTTTGAGCCGAAATCACGGCGATATCATCTTTGTCACCCGCCACCGCGGCAAAATCATGAATATCTTCTGTGGGCCGCAATCGTGATGACATCATTAGCGTCACCTGCGACCACGGAAAAGTCGTGAATATCATCATTGTCACCCACGATTGCGGCAAATTAATAACTAATAAAAAAATACATTTTTTTTAGAAAGATTATTGTCAATCCATTGTGGCCCCCTTTTTCTTGCGGCCCTAGGCCACGGCCTAGTTGGCATATCCGGCACTGTCTATGCTATATAAAAATAAACATACTCGTTATCCTGTTAGCAAACAACAGAGATGTTTACAACGACTTTTGTGAACCGTTGCATAATCGCCGCAATCGCGACTTGAGCACTACACCTGTTACTGAATATTGTCACAATCGCGACGATGAGCACTTCGAGGGTTCAAATTAAAGATATATCGGAAGTTTCCAAACCTAATTGATAACTTAAATAGGTATGAGATGGAGAACAAAATCACAACTTGTGGAATGCTAAGGCTGTTTAGGTGAGGTGATTGATCGTAGTAATATCACCATTACCGGTACTTATGTGAGGTAAATAACATGCTCACCATTCTCATCATTGTGAGTCACACGGTTGGTCTTAGAATCCTATCAAACTAAGTTGATGTTAGGTCAGCGCACGTGATAGAGTTTTAAGAATAGTAGGCTACTGTCATTGATGACTTGGTGTGTTTTTTTACTGATGTCAACAACTGTTTTTTTATTTTTATTATGTTGTCTTAAGTTGTAAAGAAAGCAAATTTTTTAATCAGTAATTTATTTTGTTTGATTTTAAAGTAGGATACGGACTGATATAAGGCAGCTAAAGGGGTAGGTATAAATTATCGGGGCTCCCATTAAAGTAAAATTAAAAACACGAAATCATATTGAGATGTGGAAGTTTCTTGTAAATGCATCATAATAATCGTCAAGGTATTTATTCTCTAAACAAATTTTTATTTTGATATCAAATTTTATATTTTTTACCTCCTGAATACAAATATGCAACTATTTTTCACCGCAAATGAATCCTATTAGGCCTACTAAAGACATCACCGTTCAAATACATAACTTATAATTACAGTTTGTAAAAATTGTATTTAAAAACAAAAATAGCCTACTCTATCTGAAAAATAATGGTAAATTTGGATTCAGGAGGTAAAAAACTATAAAAAAGACATCAAAATTATAAATTCATGTGGAGGCATGTACTGATTGAACAATTACCATCAATTTCAATAATATGCAAATCCCTATTTCGAGCAGAATATACAAACTTGTCTAGTTGTATGAACAATCTATAAAAGTTACCGTATTCAATTTGACGTTACGTTAACGGTGCATTACAGATTTTTAGTCGTGTTGATAACATTAGGTACTGTTAACTTTTTACTGGAAAAATGTTTATCGCATTGCAGATTTTATATTAATTGTTTTTTTGTAGGCCTAATTAATGAAATAGGTCTAATATTATGTTACTATTTCAGCAAAACAGGTCTCAAATGTACGGTGCAATAGTACAACTTATGCAGCAACTAGACCAAATTTGAAACTAACCAGCCAAACAAAAGTGATTTGTCAAGGTTTTACTGGAAAACAAGGAACTTTCCACAGCAAACAAGCAATTGAGTATGGCACTAACATGGTGGGAGGTGTGTCCCCTGGAAAAGGAGGAAAAACTCATTTAGATAAACCCGTTTTTAACTCTGTCAAAGAAGTAAGTTTGTGAATTATAGATATAGGTACTGTACGATAGGCTATTTTGAATATGGTATACTAGTTTTTGAATTGTTATATTCCCTGAAGGCAATTTATTTCCTTATTTATATACTCAATAAAATAAGGGGTTTGTTTGTTACACCCTTTTTCCAGCCGTCCTGATAAATTGATTTTTACAACTGAGAAAAATAATTTGAAGCTTATGATCTAGCACACCTGCAAATGGTGATTAAGTTTAAAAGGTATTTCCCTTAGGGCTTTGCCTCCTCACGTTTGATTTTTTTCCTTGAGTCCATTTTCAAAGATCCAGTTAATCCAGCTGACCAACTTTCCTTATGATGGTTTAGATGTGAATTTTACTTCAACATCTGTTCCTTCAGTTGAATGTTTAACACGTTGAGTGCGGCCTACTGCCATAGCAGTAGCGCGGCACTGGCACTGCTCGTGGCCTACTGCTATATCAGTAGTGTGCTCGCCTGCCAAACATTGTGTCAGTATGAGCCCAGCACAGGGCTGGGAACGTCGTGATTGTTGCCAGATTGTAGCTTAGAATGCGAGCTTTATTTCGGTGTAGGTTGGTACTAAACATTCCCGTAAAATCCCGTCTGGCAATGTTTTTGTTCCGTTTTTGGGGATTTTCTCTATTCGAGCCATATTACAAAGACTCTGGTTGATGATCCAGGCAGTGCTGCTCCCTTTGGGTGTTTCAATGAACTACGTCCACTTTTGGGGTAACGCAGAACAATCACCACTGCTCTTTTGTGATTCGTCTTACTGAGATATTTCAATACCAATAGCGATCGCTGATTCAGTAGCGCGCCGGGGCTCCGCCCGCAGTTTAGGGAGCGCCATTGTAAACATTTTCAGCAGTGAACGTGTTAACAAGCAGTTAATGAGAGACCAAGTTAGACAGTTTATGAAAATGAATTTTAAATAGAATACTTAATTTATTTTCTTACTGAGGCCTAATTGAGGTCACCTAGAAAAAGCACTATATATATTGTAGATCTAAAGTCACCAAATTTATTGTAAACTAGCTGTTGGCCTGTCCTATGTACGGGAATCAAGTAGTCAATTAAAACTGGATATAATTCAAAACAGCTAGTTTACTTGCATAGAGAAACATTGTGGCAGTTTTAATAGGGAAAATCATCTTGTAAACAATCATGTGACCACCTGTTTCTTTCATCCGAATAGGCCTATATGATATTAGGATACAACAATTTTACAGTAAGAAAGGGATTGTGTTGATTTGAAACGCTTTGAAGTGAGATTGGTCAATTCACACACACTGGTTTAAAGCACAGTAGCTACATATCACATTCCATTTCATACTATTACTTACCAGACCTTATTTTACCTCAGTGGCCACTGAACCTATTAAGAGGATTTTGGCCTCAGATTCTCTTCTACCCGGTATAGAGAAGTCTTTTCTTGCTTGGTCCTCCAAGTGGTCGTCTTACTTGTGGTAGGTACCTACTTCTTGGAATACATTTTTAAAAGTTGATTTATCTTCTCTCCTCCACGCAAAGCCTGTCCTTCCGAGCCTTTTACTTCTGGAAAGCACCCATATATCTGGGTGTTTAAACATTCCTCCTAGCTCTTTGTTCTTTTGTATCTTAACCTCCGTTATCTTGAAATGGTCCGTATATTTTCTTGGAACTCTATTCTCAAATCCAGCAATAAGGTTTTTCGGTTCCATGGTCAAGGCCTGATTTTCTGAACCATATAGTACTACAGGGAAATATGGTCGAATTTAATTTTTGCTGACACCCAGCAACTTATTGGACAGTTTTCTTAAGACCTGAGTCACCAGTTGACATTGGCATTACCCACCTAAGATTTGGTATGCCGACATAGTCCTGACATATTAAATAAATCGTCCATACCTATCCTTTATATCAATTTCTCTGCATTAATTGCTAAATAAAGAAGTAAACAAAGAAAAGTAAAACAATAACAGATAGTTTGTTTTGAAACAGCCGTTTGGTTAAAATAACATTCTTATAGAAAAGAACTTGTCACCTGTAGAAAGAATAATAAAAAAAACACCTAGTAAGCTAGCAACGTAATTTGTCTATGTTTATTATCCATAGCATTATCCGTTCAACTATCCGTGATCACTACTCTAGTAGGGTTGTCCTCTTGTTACACTCAATGTGCAAAACACATTTAACTCTGCAAGATAGTGTGATATGCTGGACGCTCTGGAGAACCCCTTCAATGTCCCGGCATACCTCATGCGCATTATAGAGGATTACCTTTGGTTCCGCCTCCTCATGCATGATACTACAGAAGGCCCGCGGACGATGAGGGTCACTTCTGGTGCTGCCCAAGATTCCATGTACTCGGCCCGGACCTCTGAAATGTTGCCTACGACAGCCTCCTTAGGTCTAAAATGCCCGAGGAAACTGTTTTAGTTGGGTACCCAGATGACTTTGTGGCTTTAATAGCTGCTCGTTGTGTTGAGCTGGCCCAGCTAAAATTAACTCGAGTCATGCAAACTATAAACTGTAAGGGTTTTATTTTTATAAGGACGTTATTTTAATTCGAAAGACGATTTTATTTTATTTAGAAGACGATTTTATTTTATTTAGAAGACGATTTTATTTTATTTAGAAGGAAATGTTATTCTACTTAAGGAGATAGTTTTATTTTGGAAATATAAAATAAAATTTGAACCCAAAGGTATATTTATTATTTCGTCGAGTATAAATACTTAATTTAAATCAAAAGCATATTTTGTGTTTAAAGCCGAGGCGGTCATTGTTGTTGTCGGGTCGTATCAGTTGTTAAGAGCGATAAGGCGCGGACGAGCACGCACCGTCGAGCTGCCCGTCCAAGCGCGCTGGAACCTGCCGCCGTACAATACCTCGTGACCTTTGCACTGCTCCTGCCCTCACAGGAGGGTATATAAAGGGCTCTGGGTACGGTGGTAAGACAGTCAGGACCCAGCTCTCGTACGGTGCGGAAGGTAAGTTTAGAGTTAGTCGAGTGCGGCAGTATATGGTGCACCGCTAATCCGAAGTAAGATAAGTTTAAGGGAAACGTGTGCAATAGTTATATATTGCACCGTACGTTTAGGACGCGTGTGCAATAGTGATATATTGCACCGCATGGGGTTTAGAATAGGCGTTAGGGATTTCGGCCCACGCTTATTTTACCCAACGTCGAATTTCGGCCATCGAGGCATTAACTTAAGCGAACGGTAGGGAAACGTGTGCAATAGTTATATATTGCACCGTACGCATAGGAAGCGCGTGCAATAGTTATATATTGCACCGCTCGGGGTTAGAATAGGCGTTAAGTATTTCGGCCCGTGTTTATTTTACCCCACGTCAACTTTCGGCCATCGAGGCATTAACCAAATTTATTTCCGATCGATTACTAGGTCTGTGATAGCTGTGATGAAAAGAGTTGTACTGGAGTAAGCTTTTGCTTGACTCATACTCATTTCTGAGCTTAGACTTAGTAATTACGTTAAATCGAACCTTGGACGAAATTACCCACGCTTCGACTGTTTTATCCGGCAAACTTTTTTTGTGAGGTATGTTTTTGACACCCTGGTAATTTTAACCTCACAAAACGCATGGATGGCAGATCACGGTCTCTCACTCGCTTTGAACAAAACTGAGATCGTGATTCTGACCAAAAAGCAGATTGACATCAATTGTGTCGTTGAGGTTGGGGGACGTCGAAGTCCAGACTGTTCGTGCCGCCAAGTATCTTGGTGTCATGGTGGACACTAAGCTTGACTGGCGGGAACAGATATTCCGTATGGCGGACAAGGCCGTTAAGGTGATTTCTTCTCTTAGCCGGTTAATTGCCAATGTTGGAGGTCCTCGTTCCAGCTGCAAAAGGCTGTTGATGTCCGCAGTTCAGTCTGTACTCCTGTATGGTGCAGAAGTGTGGGCAGACACGCTCAATAAGGAGGCGTATAGGATGCGGCTCGCCAGATTGCAGCGTCAGGCACCACCCAGGGTAACATCCGCCTACCGAACAAGGTCTGAACTATCTTGGTGGTTGCTGGAGTAATCCCCGTCAAACTTTTGGCGGTGGAGAGGAAAGCGATCTATGAGCGGTGTGGGGAGGACCACGCAAAAACGGAGGAGCGCAACCGCAGCCTACTAGCTCTGGCAGGAGACGTGGGGACCTGGACCAGGAGACTTGTTATATATTTTCTATTTGCATTCCTCAACAATCATACTTTAATTTAAATATTTATTATTCCTGATATTTTTACTATTGTGATTATGAAAACATTGTTCTCAATACAAGACTCTTTTACAACACCATCTTGAAATAATTTATTCAAATATTAACTATCTAATATTCCTTCAAGTATTTTAAAGTGGCGACGAGGATGGGATATCTTATTCCATTACCGAGCTACACCTCTCCAATGTGGAAAATCACCTGCAGAATTGTACTTACACCGAAAGTTAAGGACAAAATTGGACATTCTGAAACCAATATTAAAATCGACTATTCGCAAAGATCGCCATTCAGTGCCTCGGTCCTTCAAAGATGGGGACAGGATACTGGTACGCATGGGAGAAGAGTGGAAATTTGGCAAAGTTGTGACCCGGCTCGGAGCTCTCCATTATATAATTCAACTTGATAGCGGTTATGTGTTAAAAAAAACACATAAATCAACTGAGGCGGACCGAAGTGCCAGAAATTGATCCCACGAAGAAGATATCAGGAAAGGATCACAGTCATCCACAGAAGACCCGTATGTCAGGGAAAACAAAATGGGAAACGTCTTCTACTAAAAAGAAAGTTTAATTTAATGAAAAGATTGAAAATGCAGACTTTACATTTTTTCCTCTGTTCAACACTACCAGTTATTCGTCCACCAGTCATGCATCAACCAGTAATCAACCAGACACATCTGTATATTATGGACTAACACCTTCACGACGACATACATCAAGACAGATCAAATGACCAACACGATACACGCCTTGAACACTTCCTCAGTGCGGAAGAATCTGT